GGCGAAATTGATGCTTCATGACTCTTATATTTCCTTTTGATTGACGTTTTCCCAATAAAAACCAAAATGAAAACAGGAGTAAATTTAAGAAAATAAAACCATTGCAGTCAAATACCCAGTCCTAAAAATGTAAAACAAGAACAAGGAAGACACAAAACATACTCTCCAAAGCGTTGTTTTATTTAGCATTCTACGATACAAAAATTACAAATTGTCAAAAACTTCAATGTCATAAGGACTGGATCTCTTGAAACCTGTTGTACAAATTTACAGCTTGTTTCTTGTGTGTTCACTCTCGGTTTTCAGCAGTATCTCTGGGCGGTGCCTGTTTCTGCTGCATGCAGCTACGTGCAACGGATTCGAACAACCTGCAGGAAAATGTACCAGGTTATTTGAAAACCACTTACCCTTTCCAACTTAATATCAGTATGCATATTCTCCATACCGTTCTCAATACATTTCCTGAGGTGCTAACAAGGAGCATTTATTTAACAATTGAGAACTTTTTTAGTTGGTGATCATTTCCTTTCTCCTCAGTACTAGGGGTGGTAGTGTGAGGAGAAATTAGATGCTAGCCTCTCTTAGGGGTTGAAGGGTTGAGCAACGTAGCGGTCTCAACGATGGTCAGAATCAGTCCAATGATCAAAAATCAGAAATGAATTTTTCACAATAATCTAATAGATCTCTCAACGGTCTCTGACACAGTTCTCTTCCCTTCATCACAAAATTTTAGCATAGGACACGAGAAGTTTCTATTCATCGAGAAAGAACTGGAAAAACGATGCAATTTTCAAGCGCCCCTCCTCTTTTTACTCAGATGGGTGATGTAACATTTATATACACTTTACAATTACACTAAGCATCTGAACGGAAGGATGCATCCCGTATCTTCTCAACTTATCGATAAAATGCATTTAATGAAGGAGCACCGCTGTTAATCGTAGAAGAAATTCAATCTTACTTTTCGATTTCCGGAGCGCAGTGAACAAATTCGTGCGTCCAGAATTTGTACTGGTGATTCTTAATGAGTTCAATGAAGGTGATCAGTAGTCCCCAAGGATGAGGTCGGTTCACAATCAACCGCTCCAGCAATACCCTACAAAAAAGAAAAAAAGCAAAAAAAATATATATATACACATATTACATGGGTAAAATGTTTGCTCACAGTCATCAAAGTATTAAAAGATAATTCAGGATATCCAAGGTTACAAGAGATCAAGTAAATAAAAAAGTTTATCTCAGCATTTCTTTCAAATAAATCAGCAATGGAGACAGGATCGTTTACCGATGGAGGTAGGAGTTAGGGATGAAATCTGCACAGAAACTCGTCTTGTTTTAAATTCATTTGCCATCTTGTCTGTTTTACAAGCCAATCAAATGTCGGGCAAAGGCAGCGCCTCTTAATTTTGGAGCATTGGCCAAAAGAATGAGTTATTCTGAACAAAATGGTATCAGCAAAGGATAGTCTTGGAAGAATGTGTACACACCTTGTAATCTGTTCTTGTATGGCTTCTGTGTTTGCTTCAGCAAAGAGATACAGCAGAACACAACTGAAGTAATGTGTGTGGCTGTTTGGATAACGCAGCTGATTTGCAATCGCATTTAAGAATAGGTATCGACCTGGAGAGGCAAAAGTAACTTTGTCATCCATCAGACTACCTAATGCTACAGCACTACAATGCCGAAAAAAGAGGACCACAGTTACCGAAGGAGAAATAGAAGGATATATCACAGCGAAAAATACGAAATAAAAGTAAACACAAATGCAAGTGATGAAGTCGTGATTGGTTTCACTTCTGTATCTGATTGGCTGAGGATATGATAGTGACGCAGTTTCTAGACCAATCCCCGGGCGTTATACAGCAAATCAATTCAATCCCAATTAAAAAGTTCCTCTGTGAGAAAAATAACCTCCCACTTTCCACTCAATGATTGATTAATGACAGATTAAGTCTGTACCTTCGGTATCCAAATCCACAGCCAGATTTTGGAAGATGTCCATGTGCGACGAATGAGTGATGGTTGACATGGAGGGGGTACCGCTCTTACTGTGAATGTAAGTAATGGCTTGCGTTCCGACGTAAAGGACCAAGGCATTCATCAAAGGTACGTTGTAACGCGTTCCAGCTTCATTGGATACCTAATTAGACAAGATATAATTAAAACAATTACACTCACAAAAAAGCCATATGAGATACTTTGCGCTTTCTTAGCTCCCTTAAATGCGGATTAAAAAAATGCTCCTGTTCCTTTTACAGGTCGTTACTACAGCTTCTTAAAAAACCGCCGTGACTTTGCCTCTAAGTCATAATAAACATTGCTTTCATTGCGATGTCCTTCCTAACCTCCCAAGGATCTTTTCTTTTTACACCGTCATGAATAAAATCATAAAAAATCGAAAGAAACAGACATTACCTGCAAATGCGTTCTGAGTTCCGTCAGGAAGGTTACTGGAGCACGTGTCTTCAGATACGAATCTAAATCCTGTACAGAAACAAAAAAAGAAATATCGAGCTTAGCTAAAATTCTTTAAGTTCTGTCGGATATTAGATCAGGCAGACTTCCCAGTCTATTTTACCTTTTTGAAGTTCGCAGGCTGGATAGCAGAGGCAAAGTTTGTCAGGATACGTGGCGAATGAGCGATGTCAGTCAGCAAATCAACCTGTGTTCGTATAATCGGAGGGAAAGAATTAACAAGAACTTTTGCCTGTGAACCAGAATTTCAGACAATGTGAAAAATGGAGATATCATTGGGAATCGAAAGCAATCCGCTAGTTCACATGTGCTATTTCAGTAAGCTCTGTGATTTGTCTGAAGAGCACAGTTCCCTAGTATTTCCTTCAAGTTCTCATAAGCTCCTTGTAGTATTTTCCTATGCCCTGATTGGCTGATTGATTGCTTTGCTTTTGTTTAACGACGCTCGATCGAAAAGCCCTCCATTCAGTGCGTGCAAATCTCGTGACCACTTTAGTAGCTTTACTTAACACACACAACCATGCACCCTTTCCACACTGGTCTATTAGAAAGCAAAAACGAAACAAAACAAAACAAAATAAAAAAAAAACTGCCATATTAAGATAATACCCAATCTGCGCGAGTTTTCCAAATTAAATTAGAGACGTTACCTTCAAATTTGGCGTGAAGGGGTCTGGGAGTCTCATGTTCCGAGGGAAAGCACTTAGGATAAGATTCCTCATCTGAATACAGTTGGGAGGGATGACGTCACAGAAACTGAAGTGGTAATCACATAGGAACTCTGGGAAGTCATGAAGCAGGACCAACAACACGCGTAGTGTACCCTAAATATAAAAATGCAGAGAACATCAACGACACGTTACCTAAAACAAACTGTACCTGAAATCAATCAACATTACAAGAAACTGATTTTATCGCCTACATCTAAAGAATACTGTTTCCACAAACACTGTATTTGTTTGGATAATAAGTATGCATATTCACCATACTGTTCTATATACATTTCCAAATTTGTTAACACAAAGAGCTCCTTTAGGTTGGTGATCATTTCCTAAATTCTCATAACCTTGATGTATGATTCAAGGGTGATATTATAAGGAGAATTAAGATGCTAGTCACTCTTAGGGATCAAATGATCAACTTATAAAACTGTTCAGTATTAAGGTTTTCCGTAACAAACCAACCATGAAAGTTAACTTTTTTGAAAAAAAAAAAAAAAAAGAACAAAAAAGTTTCACAAAATCGAAGCTCTACAGCTGTCTCTGCCAACCTTATAAAGCAAGTGAGTCTGTTTAGCTAACTCAGCGTTCCTCAGGAATGGAGCCAAAAACTTGAAAAGATCGATTAGCAGCTGTTGAAACAAAACCCAGCCCTAGAAACAAATAAACGAACAAAAATTTCAATACACATTCCCAAGCGCGATCAAAAAATCGCGTATAGATGGTTCATGGTGAGAAAAGGGTGACAATGTTAACATCACCTTAGTTACTCAAGTGTCTCTTACGTTTTCTTTAGTTTAGTTTTTTTAGTTTAAAATCTGGTAAAACGAAGATTCTTGATAACACAACAACAGGTTTTTATTCAGCATCGGGTTAAATAAAGTATTAATCCAATGACATATCACTGCCCAAACATGGTATGAATTGCAGAACCTCAAAACAACTTGTTGGATAACTTAGTTTCAACGATTTGTTTGCCTCTCATCTTGCCTAGAGCGTGCTGTGTAATGCACGCTTTCTGAACACGTTGAATCAAACTCGCTTTCTGATCCAACTTACCTTCTGCTGCGGTGTGTTTAGAAGCAGCTTGGACA